GAATACCTACTGTGTTGTCAACATATTTGATGTAACCTTGAGACCTACGCTTAATGTTACTGGTGCAGTCGAGGTAACTTTTGTAGACGTGTGCAAGCATTTACTTTTACATTTCAGTGTTATGCTTATTAAACTTTTTTGGTAGTTTATCTTTGATACTCACTTGGAAGTAAAGATTCTTATGTCCATGGATTTTCAATCTTCATGCATATGGTGCCTCAACCAACTCACATTTTTGTCCCTCGATTAAGTAATTAATCTGTCTTTGAAAGCAGAAATATTTTTTATGTTTAAAAAATGGCAGATTCCTGAAGGAAATGGTTCGGGGGTGATTTGGGACAACGAAGGCCACATTGTTACTAATTACCATGGTAAGATCACTTCAATATGGTACCCGAGTGCATTAGTTATTTGTGTAATATACACCCTGCATCCCAGAAAGAATGAACGGGTTTGGAGTATGAGAATCAAACTATTTAATTTTTGGTGTGGAATAGGAAATGAATGTTTCATAAAGTTGGGGCCTAATAAAGGCTTCATTATCTGAAAAAATAGAATTGAATTCTATGACTCAAAAATCAGCTTCAGTCTATTGGATGGGCTATGCAATTCTTGGTTAAGCAGTTTTCTTTATATGTCCAGTGATTGGTAACTCCCTTTCTAGAAACCCAAGCCGTGGGCAAGTAGTTGCACGTGTTAATATTCTCGCTGCAGAAGGGTGAGTTGTAGTCTATTTTAACAAAGTTCATCGGTTGATGCTTTAGCAGCCATTTTACATATTCTTAAATGGGATGATGCAACTTCATCCTACTCTCCATCTAATGCCTTGACTCTCTTAATTTTATTTTGTTTCCTTCTGAAGGGTGCAAAAGAATTTTGAGGGTAAATTGATTGGTGCAGACCGTGCCAAGGATCTTGCTGTATTGAAGGTAAATATTATTCCCAGAAGCATGTTTTGTTCGAGGATTCTTAAGTTCATGGGATATACTTGCTTTCATTATGTGAGCGTGTTCTTATATTTCTTGTAGCTGTAGTTTGAGTGTCAATTACATTTTTCTTTTCCCTGTTCGCTCTATCTCTCTTCAGCTGATAATCCAAGTAATCTTCCAGCCTCAGCTTTTTGGTCATGTTAATTAAATTGTAATTCTTCTGCACAAGCAATTAAGGATCTGCTGGCACATATTAGAATGCATGGTAATCATTGGAAATGAACCAATTGTTTGTTCTAATTTATTCATTCTATTTCTTGATTGGTATTGCTAAGCAACGAAAGGTATAGTTTTGAGTCTTACTCAACACGTGATTATCATCTGCTTAAAATGGTTGATAATCGTTTTAAAGTCACCAGGAAGCAACTCCAGTTAATCCTTACAGAAAGAAAGAAAGGATATACCATTTTATCCACATATTCCACAGAAAATTTGCTATTCGCCACAGAAAGGTGGCAATATCACACCATGATAAGAGTATCTTTGGGTTGTTTTAGTCCAACAACTGGTACTAGAGACAGGTTCGGCGGGACGAGTATGACGATGACAGATTGATGGCATGGGGCTCGGTTTACTTTCCCTTACGAGCTCAGAGATGCACACAAATAAAAGAAGCTAGTTGCGGGCTTTGGTTGCCATAAATACTTTGACGATCCAGGTGGCACACAATGAATCTCGGAAATAACCCGTGGATCGTTGTAATGGGCCACGTGGAACTTAGTGCGAGGGAGAGACCCGTGGATCATGGTGATAGGCCATGTAGAACTTAGTTCGAGAGGAGGATTGTTGGGTGTACGAATAAAGTCCCACATTAGTAGCTGAAAAGATTGGGAGTCTACATATAAGGTGTAGGGATCTCTTAATGGTATGAGGCATTTTGGGAAAAACTGTGCGGGTTCGGTCCAAAGCAGACAAAATCATGCCATATTAAGAGTATCTTCGAGCTGGTTGAGCCCAACAACTTCATTTATTTTTGTTAAGACTAAGACGTATGAATCTGAATACACATCTGAATATTAATTTGTGTACTAAAGATTTAAACGTCTGAATTTGAATACACATCTGCATATTAAGATGTTATATTAAGAACTGAATACTGAATAATTAAGATTCAAATCTCCATTAAGTGCAAAGAGATGAGGGGGATAGTAGTGGGATGAGATTTTCTGAAATAAATGACATAGAGCAAAAGAGATTCAAATGAGAGGGATAGTCGTGCGATGAGATTTTCTGAAATAAATGACATAGAGCAAAAGAGATTCAAATGAGAGGGATAGTCGTGCGATGAGATTTTCTGAAATAAATGACATAGAGCAAAAGAGATTCAGAGAGATAAGTGGTTAGATATGGTAAGAATAACACTGTAATATATAGTGGTTTCTTTGGAACATTGGGAGGAGGAACTGTATGGGGAGGATGCTTTTATTGTATTTCCTTAGTAATCCAAGTGATTTATTTGCATCAATGATTATGCATCCAGGAAGAGCCTCATTCCCTATTTTTTAAATCGTCTTTTTTACTCATATCGAATCGATATATTTATAAGTTCTATTTGCCTGTGGAACTTTCTTACAACATAGCAGTTGGTGATGTGCATTTTGACATTTCCCCTTTTTGTTTTTTCTAACTCAAACTTACATTTCTGACTATGACACCGCATCCTAAAATGCTAGGTGGAAACTTCTGAAGACCTGTTGAGGCCAATTAGAGTTGGGGAATCTGCTTCTTTGAGAGTTGGCCAGCAGTGTTTAGCCATTGGAAATCCTTTTGGGTTTGATCATACACTCACTGTTGGGGTTATCAGTGGACTGAATCGAGATATATATAGTCAAACTGGAGTGACAATTAGCGGAGGAATTCAAACAGACGCAGCCATCAATCCTGGGAACAGGTTTATTTTCCTGAACTTGTGCTTGCCTTGGTATCGAATGCATTGCCTCTGATGCTGAAAATTTTTAAAGGTCCTTTTTTCCTTTTCTTTTCCAACTGCTGTTCTGTGAATAAATGTGTATTTTTTCAGCGGAGGTCCTTTGTTAGATTCAAAAGGAAACTTGATTGGGATTAACACGGCAATATTCACTCAGACAGGTGAATAATTTTTCCATCGTGGTTTGTGTTATAGACTGTGAAGATTGAGAGGAACTGAAAAGATACACTTATTTATTGTTCGAAGTTTATCCTCTTGTTTTATTACTGATTCTTTTTTGGTACAACAGGGACATCAGCAGGTGTTGGATTTGCAATCCCTTCTTCAACTGTATTGAGAATTGTGCCCCAGTTGATCCAATCTGGAAAAGTATGACTGTTGCTGCACTAATTCATGACTTAGTTCTTGTCAGCTTCCAATTGAAAATTTTGTTTCTGTTCATTTCTTCTTTTTTCTCCGGGTTTTCCAGAATTCTCTTCATTTGCATTTTGTTACAGAACACCATATTCTCATTTAAAATAGTGGTTCTTTGCTTTTGGGGGTTGGGAAGTTGTAGGTCATAAAGTGGTTTCATACTCTTAAGGTTTATTATTTGTTTATGTATTTGTATGTCTTATGCATGTCAGGTTGTTCGTGCTGGTTTGAATATTGAAATAGCTCCAGACCTGATTGCCAACCAACTTAATGTTCGAAATGGAGCTCTGATTCTGCAGGTATATTGCTGTCACTGTTGACCCTGCCAGGGACAGTTATCCTTTAGAGTAGAACTCGCAATATCTCTTTTGTCTGAACCGGTTCCTGCTCTATTTAGGTACCTGGAAATAGTCTTGCAGCCAAAGTTGGACTTCTTCCTACTACCAGGGGTTTTGCTGGAAATATAGTACTTGGTGATATTATTGAAGCAGTGAATGACAAACCTGTGAGTGATTACTGTTTTAGGTCTTGTTTCTTGTGTTAGGGGGCAAATTGTTTGTTAGTGCAAATTGATGAGTGAGTGATTTCACATTGCCTTGGCCTCCAATCTGCATTTCTAGAATTCGAGTAATGTGAGGAGTGAGTGACTGGAAAAGTGGTGTTGATTCTCTTTGGGGGGTTAGGGAAAAAGAAAGAAAAATATACTTTTGTGGCCTGCTTGAGCTTGAAAGGATAAGATTTGGTTGGAAAGCACAAGTCCTCATTGAACTGATAAGGAAAGAGAGCACAAATGAATGAATATGATTAAATTAGTTTGCAGTTTTTGCTCTAACTTAGTAGTCCCTTCAGTTTTTTCCCTTCCCACTCTCATTGATTTTTGTTGCTTGTTCTAAGCAAGTCTGCATTTCTGAGACGCGCTCATTTTATGTTGGCTTCAGGTTAGGAGCAAAGCAGATTTGTATAAAGCCCTGGACAACTATAACATAGGTGATGAAGTTCGGCTAAAAATTCGTAGGGGCAACGAAAACATGGAGTTGAGCATAGCATTAGAGGAAAAAGATTCATGACAATTGGAGCTTTCTGGTTTTCAGCTTAATTAGTGCCATCAGTTTACATGATAATGTATTGTTCCAATATCGGTATATACTACAATTAAGAATTGTCTGTCGGGAATCTGGAAATGTATGGAACATGTTTAAATGCTGCCAGCGGAATGAATCGCCTGTAAAGTTTGAGTTACTATGAAAAGGAGGGCAAAATGAGCAAACCTTGAATTCTTTTACGCAACAATGTTTTGCTTCTTCCAGTTCTTGCTAATTTCCTCTGAAAATTTAGGTTGTGACATCAATTCATACTAAGATATGTATTTTTATTGAAACATTTTAAAGTGAAATGTTAATTTGCGCATTATTATGTTTCCTCAAGATATTTTATTCCTTCTTTTATTATAGACACTAATATAAGCTGCAAATATTTTGTGTCAAGATAAACATCTAAAATCTCTCATTTAAACGCTTGCATCTACACGAGAGAGAAGACAGGGAAGTCGAATGGACATAGTATTTGTACAAATTCCTTGTCAGCCCAAGGAGTTTGGAAAAACCATGAGAGTTGACTCTTCAATGGTCTTGTGTTTGTGAAAGAGTTACAAGTAAATTGAGAATAGGAAATAGCAAAAGAAAGATATGGAGTAGATAGAGATTTATATAAGTTTTTGGTAAAACAAACACCAAGAAGTCAAGATGGCCGAGTTGGTCTAAGGCGCCAGTTTCAGGTACTGGTCCGAAAGGGCATGGGTTCGAATCCCATTCTTGACAATTTATTTTTGCCCCTCAACTCTCCTTACACATATACAAGTCCCTTTTTTTTTTTTTTTTTTTTTTTTTTTTTTTTTTTTTTTGCCTGCTGGAGAAATGGTAAACTGAAGGAAAGAAAATTTTCCACAAAAGATGACCTTTGACGGCATACTGATACCCTAAAAAGGAAAAAAGAAAAAAACGAGGACTAATTAACAAGGGAAGAGCAAAAAAGAAGGATCTACATGTATTTTCCTATGCACGAAACTAATCCTGCTTAATTTGTTGTGACACCAGACTAGTTGATCTTTTGTTAGCTTGGACATGTTGAGGACCCTAGCTACTAATTTCATGTCTACTTGAGAGAAAAAGTAGAGTACATGATCTGATTCTGAATCATCATCTTCCTTGTGTTTCCTGAACCTCCTCAGTATGCAGCATTCACCTCTCAAAGCATGTTTTAGCTTCTTTTCTTTCTGCATTCCACAACAATTGCGAAAATGAGTTATACTATCAGCTCACCTAAACGATAATTACGGGTAATACAATTTATTTGGTACTATCTATCAGTGTACATTAAATCCTTAGACAATGAGTTTCGGTGAAAAACTAAGAGTGTACCTTTTCAAGATTTCTTTTGACCTCCGTTAAAAGCTCCAAATCTTCTGGTGCTTGAAGCTCTTGACGTTTCCTCTTTTGACCCTTCACAATCATATTGGAGCAATTTCTATCAGCTCTAACAAATTGCCAAAATATTCGAATTGATTCTTCAAGTATCTCCACTAGCATGTCACTTGTTATGAAATAATCAACCTTTTCTCCAGCTCTAGCCTTGATTTTGTCTTTCATTCTGTCCTCTGCCCATCAACCTCTTTATTAGTACATTGAACGACAAAAACAAGAGTTTTATGCACTGACAACGTAAAATATATTGACACAATCGTGTCACTTATAAGATATACTAAATTCTATGACAAGCATTAATTGTTAACATGAAAAATATGGTAACTAACATACTATCGTAGGTTTTCACTAATAGTGTAAAAACTCTATTTTGTTAGTGCATACAACTTTAACTCTAAAATCTTCTGAGACGCTTACCTCTTATGACAGGAACTTGAAGAAGATTACGAAGATCGTATCGACTCTTGATGTAATATTGAACTCTAGGCCTTTGAAAAGGTTCATTTTCTATAAATCTTTGCAAGAGAACTTGAAATTGTTGAAATTTTCCAGCAACTTCATTATATGTACGGATACCACGAGGGTCAGAATCCCACAAACTTAAAGCCTTCCCATATTGCCAGTGTAGAAATTCCCAAGAAAGACACATCTGTGCAACGTATATTACTTCCAGATCACTCTGCAATTCTTTGATAAACTTTACCATTGGGTCAATATTGTCATGGCTTTTATGTTTGAATAGCCGAATATTTTGTGAAATAAGGGATTTTAGTTTTGGACCTGAACATCTCTGGCTTGAGATATGTTGAAATGGATCGTTTAGCGGATCTTTCTGCAGATAACCTGTAAACCTTTTGGATCAGAACAGCTAAAAATGAAAAGAATTTAAGTTCTCTGCACAAACTAAGTTACCTGTAATAGCATGTAATTATATAAACAAACATGGTTTGGTTACAATGATTCATTAAGTAACAAGGTTCAGTAGCCGTTTCTGGTAAACATAAACAATCAATAAAATGACTATGGCAGCCCGGTGGACTAAGCTCCCACTATGCGCGAGGTCCGGGGAAGGGCTGGATCACAAGTGTTTATTGTATGCAGCCTTACCCTGCATTTCTGCAAGAGGCTGTTTCCACGGGTTCGAATCCGTGACCTCCTAGACACATGGCAGTAACTTTACCAGTTACACCAAGGCTCCCCTTCAATCAATAAAACGACTATGAAGTACGGAAATTTCAACTTTCCAAATATGAATCATAGACAAAAGTGAAAGTTCCAATTATGAATCATAGACAAAAGCTAGGAATGCACATAATTAACAATATCCGAAGAGTAGCGGCTGCGATTTTTTCAGGCATTTTCTAAAAAAGCAATTTTCTTATCTTGCTTATCATGTTTGCACGGTCAAGAAAAGAAAAGATGGAATATATGCTACTAATAATCTTCCTCTTTTTTATGATAAATGTAAGGGGAAAACAGTTTATGTTAAATGGTCTTGAACTACTATGTATTTACACAAAGTTTTCACCCATGCAAATAGCATAAACATTAGAAGTACTGGTGAGATATTAATTACGTGACAAATTTGTTTTCACATAATGGAGTGTGGACAACCAAACAAAAAGAAAAGGCAAAAAGGGTAGCACGTCTTTTCGCCTACTTTTGTTTGTTACATCATGCATCCAATGCTTTAGATTTCATTTTGGTCTAAGTTTGGAGATCCCAGCTAACCAGATTTTGTGGGTCCTGTTATAAACTTTTGAATAAGATAAGCTGCTTTTATTCATTTCACGTAATTACATTCAAAGAAATTTGAAGCTAACCATAAATCATGAATAATTGTTACTAGTACACTACTACACCAAGCAAAAAAGAAAAAGCATGATACTTTCCATTGTCATTATGCAGAAAACATGAAACAAATGGAATTGTGAGAGATAGTTTTTATAAATTTACCCTTATGAAGCTGTGAGTTGTTACTGACCTATTGTATACATCTTCTGGTACGTCAAGATGTCAAATTTGCGCATCCTTTCTCTATAACTCTTGTAAAACTTATGAAGTTCATTCATGCAATCTTCACGTTGGAACTTTTCCTCAATTTTCCATGGCTGCAAATCTTCCATTTTTGGAGACTCTGATTCTTCCAAAATAGTAGGCAAACCAGTATCTCTAACTTTTCTAAGTTCCATTTTTAGTTGTTCAATTAATTCTTGATGTTCCCACAACGTCTCCAATTTGTTTGCATCTTCATTTCTTGACTTGACACTTTCTTGAAAATCATCCTCAGATAAAAATTTTTGTGCTTGATCATGTTCTAATTTCTTTAGCTCTTCCATTATATCACTATCAGAATCTTCAGATTCTTGATTTTCCTCTGACATTTCAAAATCACTTAATTTTTCATTATGCTCAAATTCACCACCAAAGTCTTCATCAGTCAAGAAACCATCACTATACTGATCAACTAATTTGTTCATAAGGTAACGAATATGCTCAAAACCAATTGACACACTATCAGAATCAGTTAAAGAATCCTTCTCAGATTCAAACAGAAACTCATCAGTGATATTTGATTCTCCTTTCACGGAATTGAGTCCTTCACTTTTCTCCATTTCCTCTTCATCACACTTAAAATCACCCAAATCTCCTTTTTCTTCCTCTTTAAAAGTTCCACTTTTACTATGAACTTCTTTCAAATCCTCTGTTACAACAACCTCTGTTTCTGTTTCTGTGAGAAAGTTATGGTTACACGCGGAGGGCATCCATTTAGAGCTAACAAATTCACCTTTTTCTTCCCTGCTCTTACAAAATTCTTCATAGGTTGGGAATCTAAATGTAAAACTGAACTCAGTTTTTTGTACCTCCCCATTATTTTCCGAATCAGGGAATTCAGAAGCATCCTTAAAAGCTTCAGACTCAGTACCTAACTGTCGTTCTGCCTTTGAAAAAGCAAATTCTTTTTTATACTCTTCTTTAAAGCCTGGATTCTTGTTTAATGAAGCATTACCCCATCTTAATCTGTGATTTAAACAAAGAAAAATAAGCAGGATTGTTAAAATAATGGAAGAAAAAAAAGGGCATTGGAAAAAATTGAATCTTGATTTACATAAAGAAAGTAAATAAATAAATACCTGAGGAAGAATGGGGTGATGAAGCTGAACAGAGGCGACAAATAGATGGAAACAGAGGCAAAAAGCGTAGAAAGCGATAAGAAAAGATTTTGATAGAGGTAACGAGAAAGAGAAGCCATATTCAGACAAGAGAAGAAATTTTGAGAGTGGCCATGGAATTTAATCAGTATGAAGCTTCAGGTGGAAGCAAAAACAAACAGAGGGAAACAGAGAGATAACAGAAGTTGAAGGAAAGTTTATGACCCGTTTGAATTTGTCAAAGAGAGAAATAGACTAATCACCTGTAAAAAAATACAACGAACCCCATGTCAAAAGTTAGCAAGATTTGCAAGCAAATCAAAAGACTAATTAGGAAGTAAAAATTCGACCTAACTGTGAAAATTCATGGAGTGGACAGATTTAATAGCAACAATTGAGGGGTAAGGATAGTTACTTATCAGCGACTTGGCCTAATTGACAACCTTATTCTTCACAAAGAGAGAGAAATTTGTCGTACAAAAATTATCCACGTAATAAGGAATTATCAGTTGAGAAGTCCTGTTTTTGCTGCTTATTCTTTGAGGAGTTGAATGTTGAGGTGCGGGGGTTTGCGGGATGGGGTGGGAGAACACACACAGAAAGGAAAATTTGGGTTAAGATTTGAACGCTGACAGCTTCTTTGTTTATCTCTTTTGTTTTTTCAGGTGTAGGAGCTTACGTTGCAGCTTCTTTCATACGCCAAGTGTCTTTGACATTATGGATTGGGCAACTAAATAAAAAACAAAATCAATATTACTCGCAGAAGAAAGATAAAAGAAAATTCTTACTCTGTCCCTCTCAAATTATGTGTCGCTATTTTAAAAGTTAGTTATCTCAAATTATTTATTATTTTAAAAATTTTAAGATAAAATTAATTATCTTTTTTTTATTTTATTCTTAGTAGTAATTATTTTTTGAAAATGGAGATGACACATAAATAGAACAAATATTCAATAAAGAGAGATTATATCTCAAGATATAAATAAGGATAAAATAGTCAAAAACTCCTTCTTATTAATGTTTCTTAAGGGTCATGTAAAAGAGAAACACGAAAAATAATTTGAGATGGAGAGAGTAGTAAACTTAGCCTGCCCTAATCTCAGTGGCGGAGCCAGAATTTTTATCAAAGGGGTCAAAATATAAAGAAATAAACTCATCAAGAAGTCAAGGGGTGTCAATGCATAGTATATATACATATTTTATAAAACATTAATTACCTAACTACACAGTATAATTTTTCGACAAAGGGGTGTCGGTTGACACCCCTTAAATGTATGTGGCCCTGCCACTGCCTAATCTAATTAAGTTCTAGCCAATTTTCAAGAATAATCAAGTGATCAGTAAATCGCATTTCCAATATTAATCAAAAGTTGAACTACCTGGTTTGAGACGTCCATTTTTGAACATCTTATGTGTTTTCCGCGTAAGAATATGTATTGCTTGTAAAGAAAGCACAATGTTCATAATCTCAATTCGTTTAAACATAATTAATTGGTGAAGGGTGCAACTTAATGTGAAAAGCATGAAGCCTATAATACTAAATTACGTGACAGATTCCATCCAAATAGGGTGGCTGGAGTTATTTAATATTTGAACTTTTCACACAACAACATTAAAAATATGTGAAGGTTCACAAACTAGACGTGTTTATGATGCTTTTGACTAAAAGATGGACAAGAAAACAAACAGCGTAGAACACTTTTTTCTATGTACCACATTGGGACTGCACAATCGAATGGAATTGACCAGACATTTTTCGTAGGCACTACTACATTGTTGTTTGTGAAACTAACCATGCCATGTTTATAGGAAACGAATAATAAAGACAACGAACGGTAATGTTGTGTTTGATGACAATTGATAGTACTCCAATTAGAACAGCCATAATTGCAATTTGCAAGAAGAACATTAAACACTTGAGACTGATTTGTTAGGATAAAGAATATTGGACCAATAAGAAAAAACTAAAGTTATAAAATTTAAGAAAAAAAGAATTACCTTCAAGAATCCAATTTGAAATTTCAAAGCGGACAAAGAGGTCTCCAATCTCACAAAATTGTTTGTCAACTCACAATAATGCAAAAACACCACTAAATAATGAGTTCCAAATATTTATAACCGTCACATTCCTATTCGAATCTACAAAGGATATAGCTAAAAATAAGGAAAGAAAAATTTCTAGTCTACGAGGAAAACAATATGAAAAATAGAATTCTGACGAGCACAAAATTCAATATAAAATTAATGCTCGCTAGTCAAAGATAATATAGTAAAATATCTTTTCCACACAGATTAGATTTAAACAATGTTCAAGTAATTTTTGGGTTAAATGCTATTCAGGATGTTCAACACTTTGATTTGGGATGAGTATGAACTACAATTAACTACTAAAAGTAAAGCAAATGATAGTTGATCGCGAAGAACTAGAGACTAGCAGAATTGGTTTGTTATAAGTAGGGATGTACAAATCGAACCGAAAAATCGCACTAAACCGAAAAGTCAAACCAAACCGATTAAAAAATCCGATTATGTTTGGTTTGATTTGGTTTGGTATTGAGTAAAAAAAACCGAACCAAACCGACATATAAATATATAATTTTTATATATACTTTTAAGACTTTTCATAGAATTTTCTTTAAAAAATGTCTAGAAATATTTGCGCTTCTCTTGTGAGATGTAATATTTAGTTAAATATGAAGTGTTCTATTTAAATTAACTTTAAATAATGGATTGTATGATCACTTTCTTATCAAGTGTTAGTAAAATGCGTCAATCTCTTTGTTCTTCCATATTCAAGTCAAGATCTAAAATTCTTATATTTTTATCAAATTCGAAGTGGTATTTCGATAATTTAAAATTAAATAGAACATATCATTATATAGGTATCATATTGATTTTTATGTTTAATTATTAAATTTAGTTAACCTTAAAAGTGTATATCAACGAAAAATTATTGTCAGACGACTAAAAAATTAACTATCATATGTTACTAAGAAAATTCTTCCGTAAGAATATGTTAATAGATCATATGTTTGTCAATTAAATCAATTTTTACTAAATATATTTTTACTTATAAGAAATTTAACAAAGTAAGATTGAAATAATATTCATGTAACAAAAAAATTCAACAAACCTGAAAAACCCGACAAAGTTGAACCAAGCCAAACTGATATAGTTGGTTTGGTGTGGTTTTAATAAAAATCGAACCAAGCCGGTCCATGTACACCCCTAGTTATCAATGTGAGAAATAAGGGTCATGACTTGAGAAGTGCGAGATTGTTATCCTAGAATTGACACCGTTAAATTTCACTCTTAAGGTTTTATTGATTCTCTCGAATTCAACATGTTATTATCCTATTATTCGGATGTAGGTTCCTCTCTCGATTAAACTTAAACCGTTCAAATAAGCTAATATAAAGTGCGGTGAAACTTGCATGAATCTATTGGTAAGAATGGTCTAAGCGAAACTTCTCGCGAATATTTCTCAATCTTAATTCAAAAGGTAGATCACAAAGCTCTTTCGATTACTTTAATGAAATAACAAAATAAATTAAGGCATGCATTACAACAATATTCAAAATTATGTTCCTCTTCTGATTAAACATGATAATGAATAAAATCACAACTAAAGTTAAAGCTTTTCCAACAAATTCCGGCAATCAAACAATAATCAAATCCATAGATAACAATCAAGTCACCACATCATGTCAAACCCTAAGGTAAACTACTCCATAATCATAGAGAAAGTAATCATAAATAGAGTTAAAGAATAAGAAAACATCAATTCAACGTTACAATCCGAACCCCCGTATTGAATTGATGGAAAGATATTGAAATTTTGTGTCTTGAAGCCTCCAATGCTCTCCAATAGCTCCCTAGGTCAAATGTCCTCTAAGCCGAAGTGAAAAAATTGGATCGCGAAAACACATTGGCGTGGCGCGCAAGTGCCACATTAATGAGGATCTTTAGAGAGTTGATTTTTCACTCTGCAGAAATATTGCACTAGCGCCACGCGGCGCGCGCGGTAGTGCAAGTTTCTCAGCATAAATTTTTCTTCTCACTTTTTAATATCGAGACTTTTGTCCTTGACTATCGAGCGCGACACCGATTTAATTTCTTAAACTTTTGCTCATACTTCAAAGCTCTAAATTGTTCGATTTAGCTCTAAATTATCTTCTTAACTTGAAATTATTTTTTGCAAGGTATAAAATACATAATAAATATAAATCATCATCATTTAAGCTCAAATACGAATAAAATGCAGTAATTAGAGTGTAAAATACGGCTAAAGCACGAATTGTGGCAGTTTTCAACCTCCACAAAATAAATTGTGGCGGTTTTAAAAAATGCCACAGTTATGTTCGCCACGAGCATTTTTGTGGCAGTTTTCTAAAACCTCCACGACGACCGCCACAAAATAAATTTTTAATTTGTGGCGGTTTTCAAAGGCAATTAGTGGTAGTTTGTAACCCCAGTAATATGATCTTAATGTTTTAAAAAAAATATTTGTGGGGATTTATAACCCCCACAATTTAAACTCAATCGTTAAAAAAAATATTTAATATTGGCAATTTATAAATGCCGCAATACCTATTTCAAGATTTTAATTTTAGGATTCAATAAATAACTTTACTAAATAACTCATACAACAAAAATCAAATTTCATTAAAATATCTATTGTAAGTTTTTAACAAACATTACAAATCAAATTGGAATAAAACTAAAGTTATACAAACACATAAAGTATATAATAACTTTAATGTTAGACAATCTAGAGTAGTTCGGTAGTTCCTCAATGAATAAATATACAAAAATCCAAAGTACTTGCTTGGTGATTTGTGTTGCCGTCACTTGATGATACTCTTATACCCACGGGTGAAGCAGACTCGCTCTTCACATCACTATGCTGAAACAATTAAACAAAAACATCCGATGAATAAGTTATAAACGAGTAGCATAGTCTAACAATAGCATTATACATAAGTCGCTGGACAAATCAAGATACATAAATAAACGAAAGCTCCAAATCTTCTAACAAATAAATCTGTCACTTGGTTTAACAAGTAAAAACAGCATTAAACAAAAGTTGCTAGATACTCTCACATGAATAAGAACTAAAGTACAGAGTTGTTTCCTCGTATATCATCACAAAACTTACAAATTATTCTACTCGGCGGCATAAATTCTAGCTATATATTCATGAAAAAGACCACATATGTAACTATTAAAGTATAAGTCAACTTCGACAGGTCTTCTAACATTAGAATTAAGAAAATAAAGTATAAACTTCAATCCAGCCCCATGATTAATAGAAGTTAAACTTGTACCAAAGTTGACCGCTAACACTGGAACACTGAAGTAAAAGAAATGCACTGATAAAATAGGAGGGGGAATAATAATTAGTTAAACAAACAAACGAGTTTCAAAATCGTCTGGAGCTAACTTCAAGCAAAAGAAGCAAAAAAAGTGCCAAAACTTTAACCAAAAATGTAGAATTTATATACTACCAGCTTACTTGAACATCTCGTTTCTTGAGGGACTTAATCAAATCTTCTAAGGCATGAATTCCAGTAGAATCTGTATTAGTAATAACTACAAAAGAATATGAAAAAAAGTACTCTTACTTACTTAACATAACCTAGGGAAAAGAAGTGCAAGGATTGAAAATGTAGGAGGTAACTTACTTGACATCTCAACAATTGAATTCCAGAACTTTTGTTTGATTAGTTTCTTTAAGTTGTTCTTCTTCATCTGTTAACCATCTCAGTATCCATTAAAATTTTAGGAAAAAAATATTGTTAAGCTAATTAAATAATTACTATATGCCCTTCATATTATTTGAGTTGGAAAAATCGATAGCATGATCACCTATCACCATAAGTGGAAAAATTGATAACATGATCAACTAGCCAGGGACCTCTGTTGTTTCTGAAAATTATTGTATTTTTCAGTAAGCAGTAGTCTTAGGAATAAGAAAAATCTATATGCAATTAAGAAAACCACCACCGATTTATATAAATTGTGAGTTTAGACTTGTATATAAAGTTTCCATCTATCTGTAGCCACATATATAGCAAGATGTCAATGAGCCAATTGTGTTAATTGTTCACAAGGCTACCATTTCTTTGTAACTTCAACGGGTGTTCAATGCTGCAAATGTTCTTCCAATAATTATAGCTTCCTATAATGCAAGAAGTTTATTATATAAAAAGTAAACTTTCTACGAAACGAACACTTGGTCAAGAGACAAGTTACGAAGCATAACTTACCCATCAATACTATTATATCAGTAAATAATCTTGAAACTTTTGCACACATATTCACCAGCGAAATATATTCCTTCACCATGCATCTTTGCACCCGAGCAGATCATGCATTATGAAAAGGGAAATGGGAAGGAGTATGATAGAAGTATTTCTTAAACTAGAGTAACAAATATCACAAATTCAAATATATGTATCATAACAAATGAAATATATATACAACTAGCTTACTTCAACATCTCATATATCTTGAGGAACTTAATCAAATCTTCTAAGATATGAATCCTACCAGTATCTATATCAATAACAGTTGTAAGAGAATATGAAATAAATTACTCTATAGTACTTAATGCAACTGATATTCAATGGAGCAAATGGTCTTCAATTATTGTAGCTTCATGTAATTCAAGAAGCATGTTATATAAAAGATAAGTTTTCTCTGAAAAGAGTGTCTTGCCAATAAATAAGTTAAGAAAACTCACCCATCAGTGCTATCATACCAACCCATCAATCTCAAAACCTTTGCATTGGTACTAGAGCATTTAATCTTCGATGGATGTGCATCACCTTGTCATTACAACTAAATAGAATGTAAAGCATAAAGAAAAAATGACTGATAAAATAAGAATCATGATAAATTTAGTTTATCAAAAACTCATAATCTGAACACCATATCTTTTAGTATAGAAGATAAACACAAGGAGTGCCGAAAGATTAAGAAAACTCAACGGAACAATTGCAGGCACCCAAAGGTATTTCTATTCTTCTTTCCCTGCTCAATAATAACCCCCCCTCCCCACCTCCCCCCAATTTCCACACATCCTAAGAAAAAATGATGGGCAATCAGCCTGTGATGGTATCTAAGATGAACTCACATGATTTTCTATTATTAAAATTTAACTATCTGAGCAAAATTGAAGAGCAAAACACATAGTAAAAAAACCTAGGCTTTTAAAAGTACACACTCAATTGTAATCACGAACTCGAGAACAATGGACCACACAATAATGAATCACAATTTAACCCAAAACCTGTAATAATATACAGATCCACAAGAATATTTAAACAATTTCGATTACAAATTCTACATCGAAAAAAAAAAATAAAATAAAAAATACCGCAACAGAAAATAAGAAAGAGCATGACAATTCTTTATTTTTCGAATTGCACCAACTTACTATGTAGAGAAGATGATGAAGAAGGGGAATTGAGCCTCTTGAAAGATTTCGTGAGTTGGGGAGGGGGAATTGAGCCCTTCTGAAACATATCGTGCCCTATGAAAAAATGAGGGAAAAAAAGAGAGGGAATTTTGCCCGCTTAGTTCTGAAATTTTTGAGTCTAATTTCTTAATTACCCCGTAATGTGCATACTAAAACCTAAGAAGATGATGTCCAATATTGTCTTTTAAATATTTCTTTTCTCTTTTATTTATTTCTTTTCTATCTATTTAAATATAATAAAATTTAGGCACTAAAGCTAACTTATTACTAATAAAATATACTTAAACATTATTGACATATATACTACACAAAAAAAAATAACACATCCAAATAAATAATAAATTAAAATATAGAGAAAAATCACAAAATATCATTAAATTAAATCATTTAATTAAAATTGTAAATATCCTTTATTAAATGTAAGAAAATTTTAAAATTACTACTATTATTTATTTAAATTCAAAACGTCTAATATTATGAATAGGAGACATATATTTTTGTAATTTTCTTTTAATTTTACACTTATTGATTAGTGTGCATGTAGGTTGACGCGTAAGACATTAGTAAGCCATCTCAAGCTACCTCTCATTTGATCCTCAACATGTGCTACTTGCAACTTTTAGTGAATGTAATCATTTTTATCTAGTCTAATCTTGTTTGACCGTCATGCATCTTAATATTCGCACCTCTCCAGCATTCATTTTGGGGATATGTTGGGTTTTAGTGACTTAACACTCACTACCATATAATATTATCGATCTTATAACTATTACTTACCTTTCACTTTGATAGATATCCTTCTATCACATAATATGTAGCACTTCTCCATCATAACAATCTGATTTTAACTATATGAGTAACATTTTGTCTATTATTTCATTCTCTTGAACAATGAATCTATATACCGATATTAAATTATTAGCATTTTAGCACCGCAATCTCGTCTAGTCTCACCTCAACTTCACTCTTCACATGCTATTAAAGTTGTAGTGCGTATATTCGCTCTTATTTAATATTTTTATCTATTATTTCATTCTCTTGAACAATGAACCTATATATCGATATTAAATTGTTAGCATTTTAGCACCGCAATCTCGTCTAGTCTCACCTCAACTTCACTCTTCACATGCTATTAAAGTTGTAGTGCGTATATTCGCTCTTATTTAATATTTTTATCTATTATTTCATTCTCTTGAACAATGAACCTATATATCGATATTAAATTGTTAGCATTTTAGCACCGCAATCTCGTCTAGTCTCACCTCAACTTCGCTCTTCACATGCTGATTAAAGTTTTAGTGCGTATATTCGCTCTTATTTATATTTTATCCTAAAATATTTGCTCTCTAAGAGGTTTCTCCATAATTCAAACTTTTGATTGACATCCTAAATTGTGGGGTTATTAAACACCACAAATTGTATCGAATTGTAGTATTTTAAAACCCCTCACAATCTGATGCAATTTGCGGAGGTTATCAAAAATCTCTACAATAAAATCGCCGCAAAAAGAAATATATAGCGGGGATTAAAATAAATGCCACAAAATGATCTTATAGTGGGGGTTCTTATAACTCCCACAAATAAACCTGCGCAATTTAGCTTATTTCTTGTAGTGTCTTGTGAGATGTAATATTTAGTTAAATATGAAGTGTTCTATTTAAATTAACTTTAAATAATGGGTTGTATGATCACTTTCTTATCAAGTGTTAGTAAAATGCGTCAATATCTTTGTTCTTCCATATTCAAGTCAAGATCTAAAATTCTTATATTTTTATCAAATTCGAAGTGGTATTTCGATAATTTAAAATTAAATAGAACATATTATTATATAGGTATCATATTGTTTTTTATGTTTAATTATTAAATTCAGTTAACCTTAAAAGTGTATATCAACGAAAAATTATTGTCAGACGACTAAAAAATTAACTATCATATATTACTAAGAAAATTCTCCCGTAAGAATATGTTAATAGATCATATGTTTGTCAATTAAATCAATTTTTACTAAATATATTTTTACTTATAAGAAATTTAACAAAGTAAGATTGAAATAATATTCATGTAACAAAAAAATTCAAAAAACCTGAAAAACCCGACAAAGTTGAACCAAGCCAAACTGATATAGTTGGTTTGGTGTGGTTTTAATAAAAATTGAACCAAACCGGTCCATGTACACCCCTAGTTATCAATGTGAGAAATAAGGGTCATGACTTGAGAAGTGCGAGATTGTTATCCTAGAATTGACACTGTTAAATTTCACTCTTAAGGTTTTATTGATTCTCTCGAATTCAACATGTTATTATCCTATTATTCGGATGTAGGTTCCTCTCTCGATTAAACTTAAACCGTTCAAATAAGCTAATATAAAGTGCGGTGAAACTTGCATGAATCTATTGGTAAGAATGGTCTAAGCGAAACTTCTCGCGAATATTTCTCAATCTTAATTTAAAAGGTAGATCACAAAGCTCTTTCGATTACTTTAATGAAATAACAAAATAAATTAAGACATGCCTTGCAACAATATTTAAAATTATGTTCCTCTTCTGATTAAACATGATAATGAATAAAATCACAACTAAAGTTAAAGCTTTTCCAACAAATTCCGGCAATCAAACAATAATCAAATCCATAGATAATAATCAAGTCACCACATCATGTCAAACCCTAAGGTAAACTACTCCATAATCATAGAGAAAGTAATCATAAATAGAGTTAAAGAATAAGAAAACATCAATTCAACATTACAATCCGAACCCCCGTATTGAATTGATGGAAAGATATTAAAATTTTGTGTCTTGAAGCCTCCAATGCTCTCCAATAGCTCCCTAGGCCAAATGTCCTCTAAGCCGAAGTGAAAAAATTGGATCGCGAAAACACATTAGCGTGGCGCGCAGGTGCCACATTAATGAGGATCTTTAGAGAGTTGATTTTTCACTCTGCAGAAATATTGCACTAGCGCCCCGCGGCGCGCGCGGTAGTGCAAGTTTCTCAGCGTAAATATTTCTTCTCACTTTTTAATATCGAGACTTGGTCCTCGACTATCGAGCGCGATCCCGATTTAATTTCTTGAGCTTTTACTCATACTTCAAAGCTCTAAATTGTTCGATTTAGCTCCAAATTATCTTCTTAATTTGAAATTATTTTTTGCAAGGCATAAAATACATAATAAGTGCAAATCATCATCATTTAAGCTCAAATACGAATAAAATACAGTAATTAGAGTATAAAATACGGCTAAAGCACGGATTTCCAGCCTACCATCAAATCCTACCAAGAAAAGGAAAGATTTAGAAAACTTTCTTAGGGAAGGATACAAGAAATAAGAAATCCTACTTTTTAGAAGGTGCCGATATTCTTTTATAAAGCATTACAATTTAGAACCTATTTACTATACGTACCAGGTTGTATCATTTATATACACTCATGTACTTTGCCTTTGGTGTATTCATTGCGCATCTAAATACAAGTGATACAAGCTGGTAATAATTGAACAATTAAGACGAAATACAAAAATACAAGCACTGCAATTTAGAGCCTAATACGTAACATGTTGTATCCTTTGTACACTCCTGTATTTTTTCTTGGGTGTATTCGCTGCGCGTCTGAATACAAGTGATACAAGTTGGTAACAATTGAACAATCAAGACGAAATACAGAAATACAGAAAAATAAAATGCTTTCATTGGGAGTCAAACTCAAGACATCCACTTACTAAAGTGAGTGGTCTAATCAACTGAGCTACGAGAGCTTGTTACTCTTTTGTTTCAGTTCAAAACATTTGATCTCATGTTTCAGTACTTTCAGATTGAATTTCTATAAAAATATAGCTATAAATAGTAATTTTCTAAAAGTATAGTTACGAATGATAAATATAGTGTATATATTTATTGTTTCGTGTAAATTTTCCATATGAACTAAATATCGGCAAGCCCACTGAAATCTACCGTTCGTGGATCAGTTGTCACTCTACATGTCAAGAGTCAAGATAAAGTTTTAGTACCCTCCGTTGCACATAACACAAGCCCAGTTTTGTTGGATTGAGCATATAAAAAGGATATGTTTTCTCCTACCACACCAAGCAATTTTATTTCTTTCTTTATGGGAAGAAAATAAATGTCCACTTATACAATGACAGTAATGGCAATTTATTTACCCGTAAAATGGTACAGTTGAATTTGTTACATAGCTTATAGACAAACAAACTGATTTGATCCATAATGATAAACAGATTAGATTAAAATTAAGAGTTAGCGTAAAAAACAAATGAAATGGCAAATTTGGCTCCGAGAGCAATGCCTCCGAGAACAGAAGTAATAGCAGTGTAAAGCAAGAATTAAAGATGTATTATTTAGCTTGAGAATAGAATTTAATACATGTTTTGCCAAAGATTTCGTATCCTACAATGGTTGTTGAAATCACTATTTATAGCTATACCTAGAAAACAAGATCCTAGGATCAAGCCCCTCTTAAATGACAATAAAGGGGGTCATTGATGAAGGTGTAACGGCAGGCCATGAATGCCAAAATTCTCTGCAACGGCTGCCTATTTATATTAGGGAATATTCTTTATTAAATGCCATCTGGTGACAAACATTCGTTTTGCTCCCGTTGATTATGCCCCCTTCGGGGTATATCCAACACTAACTGCAGTTGTTGTCCTCGGTCTCGGTTCTTACTCGATTCATCTTCCGTCTGCCTTCGGTTCCACGTGTCGCACAATCATTCGATCATTTAATATAAATCAATTTTACCCTATACCGATAGTCCCCCTACTTTCCAGCGGCACATCTTTGTGTCATCGGGAAGTTGGTAAAGATTCTTTTCTAGGTGGGAAGTTTTCCGAACCCCTCTGAACAGTCTTTGACGCTTGATAAGATGCACATATCCTCGCATTTAATACCCCGAATACGTGTTGCCCCACGATTCAGCAATTTTGCCGATTCTCGAGGTAATCATGATCACGATTTTAGCCGTCTCTACCTTTAATTATGCGCGTCATTTTACCTCTTTCATTTCTAACAAATTCATAAGCTCTTTTATCCTCTTTGCACTTAACTTCCTTCTGCTTTCATCTCTCTCCGATCTTCTTCAAAAGACT